TTTTTTGCTGCAGGCTTGCAAGCAACCATTCCTAACCCCCCAACCCACCCGCCGATAAATTGGGCGGTGGGGTCTAAATCGTCTGCACAAGGCTTAACCAAGGCTTTATGCACAGCTAACAGTGAACTCGAACGTTCGCATGCATCTGCTGCGCATAGATCTGTTTATCTATCCATCTCTGTACCTCTCTGTCTATCTATCTGTCTATCTATTTATTTATCGGTCTATCTATCTATCTGTCCATCGATCTATTTATCTACCTACCTATCTAGCTATCTACCTATCTACCTATCTACCTACCTACCCACCTACCTACCTGCTATCTACCTATCTATCTATGTATCTGTCTATGGGTCCGTCTTTTTCCACACCGCCAAGAAAGGGCAAGGTCCTATCCCCCCCGCTATCTATCTATCCTTGCTCGGTCAAGACCAGGGGTGTCGCCCCCGTTTTTCGCTCACTTCCCTCGCAGGGGACCAAGTCGTCCAGCGTCCCTTGCTTGCTTTGCTTGCTTGCTTGCCAAGGGTGTCAGGTCTGAAAGACTCCTGGCCCGAGGGCTCGCGTCGGTTCGTCCTGGAGGCCGGTGAATGAAGCAGTGTTCGGCGACACCCTCCCGAAAACACCTTACCAGTGAAACCCATTGCATGTCTCACCGTCTCTGTGTCCGTCTGTCTGTCTGTCCGTCTGTCTGTCTGTTCATCTGTCCGTCTGTCCGTCTCTGTCTGGCTGCCATGTTAGGGCCAAATCTCTGGCAGGCTGCACCCAATTCCTGAAAAAGATGACAAACACCAGGCCACCCGGCCGGGTATCAATCGAATATACAACCTCTTCTGCTCGATGATCCACATCTTCACAAGAATCAATGATTCGTCCAGGAATGCTGAAAGAGTCAAAGAGCTCATCCATGCTCTGACTGAAGCGAGGACTTAGGGTCATCTTTGCAGCACCCACTTCCAAAGTCTGGCCTACTCGCGCCAGCAGGGTCGCCACCGACTTGCCAATTCCTGTGCGGAACATCGGTGTCGGTCACACTTTCAAGAGTCAAAAGGATCCCACTAAAACCAGAACACTCCATATGAATGTGGCCGGCATTTTGTACGAAACTTAAAACACATATCGAAACATGTCCCGTCATTGCGATGTCAGGCTTTGCAAGGTTCCGGACACCAGATGGACTGAAACGAGAACAGTGGCAACCTTCCATTGCTAGATACCAGACTCAGGACGCCAACCCGGTTCTCATTTTCATGAATTTCTTGAGGCCACATACTCGGTATGAGCTCAAAGAACACTCCCCTTTCTCTCCCTCCCTGCCAGGCCCCAGCGAGTAACGGCGAAGGCTGTCTGGTGGCCCAACCTTTCGCGTTCGATGTGCGAACTTCAGGCTACGGGCTGCACTCAGTCTGAGAATCCTGTCTTGGGTCTTGAGCTCCAAGAGACAAGCCGAACGTCTCGAAAGCCCGGCAGGCCCAAGGCCACAAACCCAAGCTCCAGCCGTGACAAGGAGCAGCTGCGCCAGGCGATGATGGAGCCATGTCGGCCGAGACCATACCATGGCGGTTTGGAGGGGTGCTTTAAAACACAGTCTTCCTAGGTTTCATAGTTTGGTTTGTTGGCTTCTTGGATGCGGCGCTAGGGCTAGCCCGACACACCAAGCAGAGGAAATCCTTTCATGCAGTCAGTACACAGATACAAACAACACGAATGCCGAATGAGGATTGGGTCAAGCTGTGTATCTGAAAACTGTCTAAAACTAAGTCCTACTGGCATTGGCTGGCGAGGGATCGTGCATCTAGTTGCCATGTGCAAAAAAATCGATGCTAAGCCAAAAGAGATGATCATCGAGCCGCCCAAGTGGTGGCTCGAACACCCATGCATTCCCCGACCTGAGTTGTTGTTGACACTCCTGGTTTCCGGGCGCCAGGTTTAGGTAAGACTTGCAGCCTTGGTCACCGCAACACGGTTCGATGCGAGCTGAAATGTGGTTCTGGGTATGATGCATCGCCACGATAAGAAGGTGGTGTGCAGTCCAGGTGGGTGAGTTCACGCTCCATGCCTGACCTTGCCTGTGCATGATGTGCAGCAGCATTGCCCAAGCAGTCACGATCACCAGTGTGTCATCAACGAGACGCTTGCAACAATATCTGGCAGCGAAAGTCTCGAAGCATGAGCATATCAAACCTCGGCCGGCTTTGACAAATCTATGGCCCCGGCATGCATGAGCCCCTCAACTTGCCATGGACCCTCCCCCGGCCCCTGACCTTCCGCTGCTCAGACATCTCAGAAGACCTCAAATCCGACGAGCGACGGATTGACAGCCAAGCTTGGGGGAGCTTGAAGCGAAGTCGAATTCGAAGTCGAATTTCACTTCAGGCTTCGAGCCTTCGAGTTGATGCTTCGTCTCCCTTCAAACTTGATGCAGCGAGGCCTGTTCGTGAAGCGCTCAAGAGAGAAACCAAGTGAAGGAGACTAAGCCGCAAACGGGCCCCGGCCCGCTTTTCGTGAAGCACTCCCACCTGACGACCAACTGCAAAGTACTCCTCTACTGCGCTCCTAAGCCTTCAGCTTGCATCGACAATCATGAGACGTGACATAACTGCCGACCAGCCACCTTACTACCAACTGATTGCTGCACTCACCCCTGCACGAAAGGTCACCATTACAATCTGTTTATTTCACGAAGACACCTCTGGACACCTCTATCACAACATTTGCCACAAGCCTCGTCCCCCATTATCGGCCACACCACCCGGACGACCTGCACCACCACTACTGCCACCACCACCACCACCACCACCACCACCACGACCATGACCGGGACGAGGACGACGGCGACGACGACCACTACCGCTGCTACTACTACTGCTACCACTACCACTACCGCTACCGCTACCTCTACCGCTACCACCACCACTGCCACTACCACTACTCTACTCCTACTACTCCTGTAATACAACAATCACTATCAGTACCACTACCAGTACACGTACCACTACCACTACCACTGCGATTTCGACTACGACTGCGACTCTGGTTGCGACTGCTGCTGCTGCTGCTGCTGCTGCTGCTACTACTGCTACTACTACTACTACTACTACTACTACTACTACTACTACCTGCTGCTGCTACTACTACTACTACTACTACTACTACACTACTACAACACTACTACTACTACTACTACTACTACTACTACTACTACTACCACCACCACCACTACTACTCCTACTCCTACTGATTCTGATTCTGCTTTCTACTTTTACTTCTACTTAATTCTACTTCTAAGTAGAACAACGAACAACGACCCTGCAACGCTACTGCTCGTGCCTTGCTGCCTGATGCTGCTCCTGCTGCCGCCACTTGCAACCGTGACCCTGCCAGCCATTGTTATTGCCACTGCTACTGCTGACGCTGCTGCTACAGCTATCCACCACCCCTGCTACTGCTGCTGTCCTGCTCCTGCTAAGAAACCCACGCAAGTCTTACCATTGGGCCCCAGGCCATGGTTTCCGAGGGACGAGGATTTGAGTCAATGCGGAGACATGGCCTCGGCGGATAATGTTTGGGACCTTGGCATGGGCTCATACGTACCGTGAGCCTTGGCGCCTCGGCTCAGGGAACGTGGACCCAGAGCTTCTGCATGTTGGACGCCGCTGCTGTTGGTTGGGCGCCGTTCTTGTGATGGTCTTGCTGTCGCAGCAGCTTCACAGCAACAGCAGCAGCAGCACGTGCAGGTGCTGCTGTCTCAGCAACACGCTTATGGCTGCTACTATGTTGCATGCTTGCCTGCAGACCGAACTGCATTGAAGAGCCGGGCGCTAGCTCTGAGGCATCATCTCCGACGGACGGAGATTCCACCACGAAACCACCCACCACGCCCAAGCCTGCCCAAACTTCAATCCCACCGGAGCACGGGCAGCGGATACCCGGCCGGCCTCCGGGTTGAAGGCTGAAGAGATAAAAAAAGGATTTGGGCTCGCTGAGCTCAGGAATTTGCGATAATTTCCAGTCCAAACAGATGCTCGGGACAAAGGCATGCCAAACGATATGTTAAGGGAGCCGAAAAAGTCGAAAGCTCAATTACCAACAGTACATCTTACGGGGTCTCGGTCTCGGCGGGCATGGGGCAGCCAACTCCAGGTGGCGAACAATCCCAACTTCGAAGCTCTAGCCCTGTAGACAATCCTGGTCTCAGATTTTGGTCTCATCCCGCAACTGCGCATCCCAGTGTCCGTCATCATGTGCTCTACCTCACCTACTAGCACACTAGGACCAGGAGTGTGGAAAATGTCACGTGAGCAGGCGCTTACGGGAGCCAAAGTCGGTGATGAAACTCCTACGGTCCACCTGTTTTGTCGGTTTAGAGCTGATTGCCATGATGACTTGGCAGTCCGTCTTTCCACGAAATGTTCCCATGCCTAGGCACCTCACTCATCCGCTGGTCACGGCTAATGCAAGGTGAGACGGAGGTGTGCCAAGATGCCAACGAAGCAAACGTATGGAAAGGATAAATTCTGGAACCATCTTGCCAGCTCGATTCCCCAAGCTAGCTCTACCTTCAATCCCCAAGTGTCCAAGCTGCCTCGGGTTGCGTCTTTCCAAACCAGAGGTGCCCTGATTGCCAAGTCTTACAGTAACTGTAACTGGGTTCACCACGGATGTAGCAAGAGCAGATGTCGCTCTTCCCGTTCTCATTTTCGAGGTGTCACCACGAGTAACGGTAAGAAACTTCATTTCTGAATACTTACGTAACAACATCCTGGCTCACGCATTCAGCTTCTCCGCAGCTGCCATCACCTTGCTTCTTGTTTCTTTTGTGGCTGTTGTCCCTCGAAGGGCTTGCGGACTGAGTGTTTGCATGGCTTAGAGTAAGCAGGCTTCCCATGACTTCAAACGACCACACTGAAACCCACCCTGTCTTTTGCGCAGGTGGCCAGCTGGAAAGCCATGTGTGCTTCGGCATTGTCCGGGTTCTTGTCCTTGGGCCACAGGTCTCGGTCATGACCGAACAAAGCTTTCCAACCCAGCAGGCTGAGGTGTCTTATTCCTATGCTGAGAAACCACGGCTTGAGTGCGCAAGGTCACTTTTTGCAGTTGCTGTTCTCAGCCGAAAAGAAGGAGTCCTAATTAGATCTTACGTGATGCCACGTGTATCACATCGGCGGAGCAGAAACTCCAAGTTGGAGATACTTCAGGGGAGAGGCTGCCGGGCAAACTGTTACACTGCAAAAACGAAACCCACCAAGGCAAGCCCCGGCACCGGATGCCATCGCAAAGCCATTTGTCGTCTCACCTGTCACTGTGCAAAAGCCAGGATCGCTTATGGCCCTTTGTACCTTTACACCATGTCTCACAGACACTTATCGTGGTCTATACACCTAAAATGCGAAGTCCGGCATGCTTGTCAGATTGGGCCTTCTGCACTTCCGTCGGCATCGGTTGCCCTGAGAGGCCCAGCAGCATGCAGGCCTTTTCGCTCCAAGCAACTCAAAGCTACTCACCCCCAATCTCCATCCAGACAGTCTCACACACGTTTTGAATTCTTTCTTTCGCCTCGAGCAAGAATGACACCCCAGCCCTGTTTCTTGATTTCACAAGGCGACATAGACCTAAGCTGTCACTGAGGCGTCCTCGTCCCCCCGGGCAGCACGTGCCTGCGTCCGGGACATGCCCTCTGCTTTCCATCCTTCTCGGAGGGCGCGGCTCATGGCTTCCTGTGCATTGCTGAGCCACTCTCTGGTAGCTATCAGGCTATCAGAAACGCGAAGTGACGGTTACACCTCGTGGGAAAGCCGCCTCCGGCGTGACTTTCGGAGATTTGGGCCATGTGCTCCCCGTCGACTGGCTTCTCGCAGAGTAGTAGCTGCCAGTGTAGCCAGACTGGGCGGGAACAGATCGGAACCCTTAACCGGAAGCCACGGAGAAGTGGGGAGTCCGTGTGTATGTGTGCAAGTGCGTATCATGGAGCGTGTTGGATACACCTGCCAGCCACGTAGCCTTTCCTCCTTAGAAGCCTTCGAAGTTCTCGGATGTTATGAGGCGGCAAGGGTTGGGGAAGAGCTTGTCAGCCTGCAGGCTTCGGATTGAGGGCCGTAGAAAATTCGGGTCCCAACCCTTCGCCAAATCATCTACAGGTAGAGAAGTTCAAGATGGTTCGAAGCTAAAGCCTCCTTCGCGCACATCTTTGATCAAAACATGCTTGCAAAGACCGGCAAGGGGGGCCACGTCGCCAATTTTGCGGAAGACCGCAGGTCCCGATCGCAAGATCCCGAAAGCTGCTTCGATGTTTTGCACTGCAAGCCGGAAGGCCGCAGAAGTGTAGGTCCACCCGCCAGGGCTGTTCCAGGGATCTGGGCCAGGAGCCGAATAGCCTGGCCAAAGCTTTCAGGTCTCAAGGTCCCTCAGAGGCTTCAGCTCACGGCGCCCTACGCCCAAATGAAGCCCACGGTCCAGGGCACTCACAAGGAGGTCTCCGCTCAGGCTCGTCACGCCCATGCTATTGTGTTAAATGAAAGCAAGCTGCTGTAGTTCTCAGCTGGGCCCTTCGAGCCGCCTTGGCAAGCGACATGATGCGATTTCTAAGACACTGTATAGGTGAAGGCTGCTGCGTTTGGCACTTGGGCTTCCATATGATTTTAGCCGGAGACACGACTCGACTGAGTAATGAAAGTTGAACTCATGTTGACTCCTCAACCTCATGGTCAACTCCTTGCAAATCCAACCAGGTCACGCCGGAAGTTCCCGTACTGCGTCTCTTCCTCGGACAGGCATTAGCTCCAGTGTCTTAAAGCCGTCCAAGCTCAGAGGAGGGAGCTCAACAAAAAGGACAATGCTTTCGGGCTCGGTGCTAGTTCGGTCTTGACACCGTGACATGCAACATGGACATCCCCCGTCGTGGCCTCATGCTCATCAGATCCTGAACGGCGTTTGGACTGCACCTTCTCTCAGACCCAGGATGACCCATGACAGCACCAAACCGCAAATACCAACCCGCAGCCCCAAGCGCTGAACGGCAAACCCGACGAGCCGAATCTGACCGACAAAGTCTGTGACCACCCTTCTGGGTATACGGCATGGGCATCAGCAAAATAATCGTCGAACTCCGAATCCTGCGCAGATGAGGGGTGCGATTTCCGTAGTGCCATAGCGCGGACATAGACAGACATGGATTTTGGAGGCGCCTGAAGTAATGCCTTTGACTCTTATGCCGTTGAAGGATGCTTAGTACGACTACAGCAGCCTATGCCGTTAAGGACGCCGGAAATTTCATAGCAGCTCACAGAATGAACTCGTCTCCAGCTCTCGCAAAATGCAGGCACCAGCCTCAACGTAACTCCTTGGTGGAGGTAAAGTAAAGCAAAATGCCTTCTGTAGCTGGACCCCCAAACCTTTGCAAGCTCCTTTGTTGTACACCCGTAAACCCTCTGGCCCATTGCCCAGGTAAGGAAAAATCGAGCAAGGCACCCATGGGACAGAATCCCAGGGCTCATCATCCATCGTGAAGTCAAAGTAGTCATCCTTGCCGAGCATGCAGAATCCAAGTGCAGTTGGAACGTTCCCAAGTGATGATACACACAGAGCTTCCACTTCCGGAGATGTCGCTATGGCGTTGATTTCAAAAGTTTTTGGGGGTTCCCGAGCTTGGGGATCTTGGATTCGGAGGTTTGGGACCGGGGGCTTCGGAATCTTGAAAGGCTAGGCTGGGACGCGTGAAGCTTGAAGCCAACTGGAGGTTCGGGGTTATTTTGGAAACCGAAGCTGCATTTCAACTTCCCTTAAGCTCCTGCAGTGGTACTTTCGGTGCCTGTAAAAACCAGATCATTGAAGTGAAAGGACTCAGGCGTCAAAAGAATCGCAGAGACACTAAAATTGCAATAGCAGTCAGTTTTACATGGCAGTCTCACTCTGAAGTTCCACACGGACAGCCTCATCTTCATCATCCCAATCGTCGTACTCCTCGCGGAGGAACCTCAGAAGCCGGATCATTAGCATGGACGCTCAGGGTTCGACACACTCGCACAAGGCAGGCATGGCTCAGGGTTAGGGTGTCGAGACCAGCGTGTCTTGCGTCTAGGACAGCAAACTACCTGGTAGCCCGTTTCGTTCTTGACCCATCCATAAGAGGTGTCTGCCTGTGGCCCATGCCATTTTCATCCCACCCCGAGGCATTGAGCAAGTGCTCTGACTGGGAGCTTTGGAGCAAAGACTTGTCCACGCTGGGGGCTTCCAACCGCGAGTCTGGGTTCCCGAAACTCGATGCCAGGGGAGGTTTCGGGGATCTCCCGTTGTTGAAGGATCGGCCCCCACTCCCTGCAAACTCCCCTGGAAACACCCACACACACACAGATATATATATATATATGGTCCCCCCCCCCGGTACCTACCTTTTGG